CTCATTCACAGCATCATAAACAAGTCAGAGACACATTCCTTTTATTCCCCAAAAAACCCCAAAAGTGATATATGTGGGGAATCATTTAGGTTACATTGAAAACAAAGAAGCTGGAAGTCTGCTACAAACCCAGTGTTCACACTATATAAACCTTTGATATTCTATGAATGCAAATTCTCTTGGTGACGGCATGGTTTAAAGAGTAATTTTTTATTATCTACTGATCAAAAATAATCACCTGACTGACCTGACCTGACTGCTGTTGTTCAAACTCAAATAAAAAACAGACCTAACCTGCTGGGGTTGTCAGCTATTTGACCAATCTTCAAACTGTTGTGACATCTTAGAGATAAAGAGTATAAGCTTCATTGTAGAACACTTGTGCACTGGGGCAAAAACATCTGAGATGTGAGCAGAAAATGTAAGCTTTTAAGGAACTTTAGTTTAACATTTTGGGAAATACGCCTAGCTTAGCACAAAGACTGGAACAGCACAGCTTGGTTTTGTCCGATGGTAAGAAAATTCAACTATGTGCACCTTTAAAGCTCACCGATTAATTCATTATATTGTTTGTTTGATGAGTAAAAACAACAATTAGCTGTTTTTCAGTTATGTGCCTCAGTTCAGGTATTGAATTAAAGGTCATGTAGCCATTACAAACATGAATAATGTTGACATTGTTGGATCCATATTAATTACAGTAGTTGGATAGCTCTTCCGTCTGTGTTTACTAAGTATATTAAGTATACACTTTTTTAATTAAATTTCATTAAAATATTTTTTACTATGGTGAAATGACATGAGTTCCCATTCATTTTATTTTGTTTCTTTCTTGAATAAAGACATTTTTTCATGGATTAATTCATGACAAACATGAAGAAATAAAACAAAACTAAAGGTTCAAATGACCAAGCATTTTTTTAAATACTAGACATTCACACATATTTTTATAAATAATATATTGTAAAGGCTGCATTTTTCCAAACCATATACTGTACAGTACTAAGAAAACAACCAGCAATAGCTAGATACAGTGGGGTGAAAGATTTCTCATTTTTCAAGAGCCTGTTATTTTGCTCTCGTATTCCTCTGTTGTGTTGTTCAGTTCAAACAATAACACAAGGTTGTCACTAATCAGCAGAGTCTTGTGGTAATAGGTCAAGGGTCAGCCTTTAATGTGACCTCTGACACATAATTAAATTGCCATCTTTAACCTCAGTTACAACCTGTCACAGAGCATTGGATTACATGCTGCAAATCACTCCACCAATCAATGATAGGAGGGAGGGCACAAGGAGTGGCCTGCTGTATTCAATCGTGTTCTGCTAAGAGATTATCTTTAATGAAGTTGTATTGTACAGTGATCATGTTAGTGTAAAGTCTAATTAGATTGTGAATGACATACTGCAATAACACACAATCATCCTAACGGGGAAAAGGAGACTGCAGATAAGGTATCAGAGAGCTACTGGAAGCGCACATGACTTCGTTCAGCTTTAGCTGTTCGTCATGCAAATGCCGATTTGGTGCCAGGTTCCTTTCTACAGACGCCGCATGGAGGCTGCCATGTTGAACCACCATGTTTCTACAGTAACATAAAAGCTGCATTAGAGCTGTTACAGTGAGACTGAAACCAAAAAGTAAAAATTCAGGATGTATTGGCTGCGAGCGATCTGTTTTTAGTTGTAAACAGATTAGCAGCAGCTTGCTGGTTGCAGCATCATGACTGAAGGAGATTTATTGTGATCTGCAGGTTTCCAGGCCGCCATGTCTTGATTTATTGATGGCATTTCCCTGCTAGCAGGGTTACCTGGGATCTGTGGTCCACAGACAAGGTTAAAGGGCTTTGTTATGTCTAACACAGCAGTATTTCATGACAAACTGAGGATGATGGAGAGGGTTTTTAGAGGAAACAAGAGTTTTTTTGTCTAGCAGGTGAGAAATAACAAAGATTTATTTTATGTAAGACTAAATTTTACTGGTGAGGTTTTACAACTGAGGCTGTTGTCCTCACACAGGCACTGATTCCACACCAAAACTGCAGCTGGTGTTACAGAAAAAAATATGTCCCCAAACTCAAATGATCCTGAATGACTATGTTGATTATGATTTAGGGGCTGCTAGTTTTGTTTCAAACTGTGCCTCGCTTTGTGGCCGGGGGCCCTGTGTTGTTTAAAGGGTTGTCGGGGTATAAATACTAAATTAATCATGCTTTGGCTCAACTTGCTAGGGACTGAAATTTGCTTATGGAGGCCTATGATCACATAAAATATTAATGGCTTTACAGAGCACTGGCATTGTGGCGATGGGGGCAAGGCGTGTGAAAGCACAGAGCAGTGTGTTGGGAGGGGTCACTGTTGATTTGAGATCAGACACCTTCTTCATATCTTCGCCTTAAATGGAAAAGTGACCAAAACATTGTGTTATTGCACATTTATCCAGCCATTACGATAGATTTTGTACACATTGTTGTACAAAATGGTTTAAGTGGTAATTGGTATTAACTGGCAGCAATGTTTTTGTGTTGTGAAAATGCAGGGCTAATATTCAAATGAATGTGAATAAATACATTACAAGTGTGTAATGTTATGCATATTCCTAGTTGTTTCATATCCATATGACCGACTTTGTGAGCCCCTGAGTGCTTCAAAAAGAAACCACAATCATTTTCAGTGACAGACAGCAAATCTCCAAGCAAACAAAAGTGAGACTTTGAACATGCATATCCTTCTGTCTCTCTCTCTCTCTCTCCTCCCCCCCCAGTGAAACATACTTTAAATTTTATTTTAGTCAAAACAGAAAAAAAATATTATTATAGCTCATTCCAAAATTTCATGCCATTTGTCTCCTTGACACAAATCAGAAAGTAAAGATTTATATAATGGAGAACCGGGATGTTGTAAACTTGTTAGCCCATATTTTCTGAGCTCACACAGAGCATATAAACATGCTCTACCCACTGAGACACAAAGGGAGGCAGGCAGAGCTCTCAGACATTGCTGCATGCTGGTCACATTACTGCCGAAGTGGCTGTAGACAACATGAGTGTTAATTTTTTAACAGCACATAACACATTAATTTGTGTAGCCATTCCACAAAGTCCTACTACATAATTGTCAGGAAGTGTGGGTATTTGTTCCAATCAATGAAAAGCTGGAGGTACGTGACACAACTACACAAGCTTGCAAGTAAAACTGCAGCTGCTTGTTTGATCACAAATGATTCTTGTGTGAGTTTGGTGGCACCATAGTAGGTAAATGAGATGGCGGGAGGGGGTATTTAAGAATATTGAGAGACGGAGGGATGAGGGAGGGTATTTTTGGTGGTGGCGCTAGGGAAAAGGGTTTAAATGATGAACAGCAGATATTCTACAAGAGCAAATCGGATTTCTCACAATTATCTCTGCAAGCCTGACAGGCACCAGGGGTGGTCCGGGAACACTGAACTGGTGAACACTGATTGGGTTATTTGCCTCTCTTATTTGAGGCTGAGGGATTGTGGGAGCTGTACTGTGGAGAGCCTCTCTGCAGGTGTATAGTAACCCCCTTACAGTAAGCAAAATCCTTTTTACAAACGCCACAACATAAATTCATTTTTGGTTTACTGAAAGCAAAGGGTGGCCACTTGTAAAGTTAGTATTAACCCATGTTAGATGGGCAGGCACTGACGGATCAAAATTAAGAGATCGGCCTTTCACCGTCCACATCATCAAGATGTTGTGGTGGTGATAAGTTTGTATTCGGACAGATACTGTCCCTATGCAGAAGATTACAGACTGGATCCTTAAAAAGTTTTATTTTTATATGATCTCATATAATATGATATGCAGATCTGGATACAGATCCATAAACTTGTATACTACTGGATCTTTCCAGATACAAATTATTTTTGTCCAGTGTATGATTACAGAGTGGCTGTATCAGGATTAAAATACTGTTCACTAACAATCTAACATATTCCCATTAAATCTGGGTTTAATTACATTGAACATCAGTCTTTGGTTGATGCAAGGCAATATTTGTTTTGTGGTCAAGCACTTCTCTATAAGTGTGATATATCAGAGCTTTCAGAGACTTTCCAGGTTTCAATTACGACTTGGATGTCGACCTATTAATGAGACAGAAACTTGTAATTACAACACATCCAGTATGACATGAACGTGGAATAAGTGCATATATGCTTTTAAGCAGTGGCACCCAGAGAAATCTTTTAGAGGGGGGGCCACTGAAAATCTTGAGGCAGTGACTGTAGCCGTCAGGGATTCAAGGCCCTCAATCAGTTTCTAACACAGTTTTAACACTTTATTTCACAATATAAGTCTATTTTTGTTCACCAGTTTGAAGTGGATGGGACAACACCCCACAGTTCTGATGAAGCAGACCAGCTGAGTTTTCCATAGTGATCAATATGGATCCATTCTGAGGCACAGTGCACCAAGCCAAATTCTCCAAGACAGAAACTCTTAAACTTTGTCTAAACATAGAAATTGGCAGCAGGAAATTACCACACACACTAGGCAAAATGATGATTAAAAATGTATTTTAATACAGCAGCAGTAACAGTTTTGAACAAGTATAGACATTCATAGTAAATACAAAATTATATTCTAAAATGTTGACGTCTCTTCGGGATGCTGGACACTGCAGACCGACCTCACCTGCAACAAAACAAACACAAATGGTCTTAGTTCCTGTTGTTTTAAATCAAATATATTGTTAGACAATAAAATAGGCAATAATTAGAACTAATTCTAACATTATGCAAAAATATACAATCATATTATGTCACAGTCTTACCTTGGAGTGGAAATCAGTGTTAGAGATTAGGTTACCTTACCGATCCAAAATAAAAATAAAAAAGTGTTAGAGGGAGAGGAATTTTGTAGGAACTTTGCTCTTTAGGGGAACAGGAAGTTTTTTTTGTTTTTTGAAATGGTCTTTTTCAGCTCTTTTAGAAGTGTTCTTTTTTAAACTGCCACACCACTTTCTCTTTTTTTTGTCTTTTTTTTGTTTTTGGCAGGATGTTTTCAGACCATTTCAATTCTTTATTTTTTGTACAATCCAAAGTAAAGCCAAGAACTGAGAAGCCAAGCTTTCATACAAATCATTTAAACCCAGACATAAAATATTTACACATAAGCATTTAAACCAGTCAACCTAATACTATTCTGCAAAAGCTAGTCTGTCATTCAGTTAAATTACAACACAGGTTTTGTTTTCTTAAACTGACAGTTCAACAAAAGTGATTAGCTGTCACATGTCCAGACAAACTGTGTTTTGAGAACCGAAATAACAAAAAAAAAAAGAATACAGAACTATTTCTACATTAAGAGCATTAAAAAAATGTCACAATTGTTAAATTGTTAAAATGAATCAAATTCACACATGGTTCTTCTGCCAGTTACACATTTGTGAGGGGAAAAAAAAGTCTTGCCAAAGTGAAATGTGCCTTGATGATTTATAAACAGGCAATGAAAACGTATAAAGTTGCTGGATTGTTGCTCATCTTCCACAGCAGTGCAACCAGGGGAAGAGCATCTGACTGATCTTCATCTGCGCCAGGAGCGAGGCTCGTTGTCATCCTCTTCCTCATCATCATCCTGCAGCAATGCATCGTCACTCAGCGACTCTTCCGGGTACTGATAGTAGAAAGAAAAAACACTTTAGATTAGTTCTCTCTATAGATGACTGAACTGTGAATGAAAGTGGGAAGACCTTGTATGAGCATCATCAGCATTCAACTTGCACCATGTATTTAAAAAGTCATAAGAGGAACTAGATTCACAGCTTGAGTGTATCATGCTGCAGGCGGACCAAATGCTTAATGAAAGTGTGGCCCTGCAAAAGCCACATAAAGACAATCATTGCTGTAATGTGTAATGGCTCCCTCTTGTGTTCTCTAAATGTTACAACAAAATTATTTCTAAAAGCGTTTCTGATGATATCTGAACAGAGACCATTCAATGAAACTGTACTCTAGGATCTAGTAGCACCAGAAGGAATATCACCGTACGCATAGTGAGAAATGGCCACAAACCTCATCCTCCTCTGGTTCTGCCTCATCAGCATCGGCAATACTGAGAGTCGTGACAGCCTTATGCCAGGCCAGGCGTAAAGTCTGGTTGTTGAACTTCACTCCATGAAAAGCCGCCTTACAGGTGGACAAAACACAGACAGCAGAGGGGGAAACACATCATTAGAGGAGAATATGAAGAGTAAAACAGAATTGTGAAAAAAACACTCACTGTTCTCTGCACATGGCTGGTTCTTGACTCACCTGTTCTGCCTCCACCCTTGTCTTGTAAGTGATGACAGCAGTCAAGTTGTTTTCATCAATCTGGCAATCTTCAATCTCTCCAAATTGCTTCAAATTGTGAACACAACATTTTGGTCACTTTACAAACCAACTCATTCCTGTGTAATTACTGAAAAATGATCTTGTGCATCATCTGTCATTGCAATAACCATCTAACAAAGTGACATTTCTTGATGTTGGGCGGCTTTTTCCCCTACAAGTTGCTTTTAATACTGCTGCTGCATCAACTCATTTTAGATTACACAATAGATGCTAGTATCATGGATGTGAAACTCAGCAATATTTACAGTGTTCATACACATTCTGAATACTGGGGGGGACTGAGGTGAACTGGTACACATTACACAAAAGCATGCATGTCTGGATAACTGACAGTCACATGACGTTTGGGTTTCTGACATACTGTGAGTAGATATCAATTATTTTTTTGTTTTTCACTATTGCTTGTTATTTTTTCTGGTGTTTGAGGAGTGAATAACTTAACCTTAAAGTGAAAGTGAGCCAATTATGTAGGTGAATTTTCACTGCAGTCACTGTATACTGGTGGTTATTGCCAGAGGACTTCCTAGTCACACACTATTTGTATTTAGACAGTAATTGTGTTCCACCACTGGTTGCCCTGTTCAATTGTAACCACCAGAGGGCACTGTTTATACTTTTTGCTACACTGAACAACTGCAATAATTTAATGCACACTGTATTTCTGTATATGAGAAACATAATTCATATTAAGAGTAAAATATGCATAGCCCAAGTGAGATTGTATCTACACTGTTTTTACTGAAATCTTCCATATAATTTTCCAATTCCATATAAAGTAAAAAAAAAAAAAAAAAAACTGATGCATGATGATGATGATAATTTTTAGGCTATGTTGATGTTTAGATTTTTTATCCTTTCTTTTGTTTCTGTATAACAAGACTACAAACAGCCTTCATCCAAAGTAAAATGTGAAAACAGCTGAAAGTTTTATTTATCATGTCCTGACTGACTGAGCAGTTAAGCTAGCAGTGCCTCAATTGTGGGTATCCAATCTCCTTTTCAAAGTAATGTAGCTCTAGGTTGACTTACAGCAAAGTGTGGCAGCAAGTCTACACGGTCTGTCTCAGCAAAACCAGAAATCGCCAGCGCTCGCGGCCGATGGTCCACAACTGCATGCAGTGGCACACCTCTTCCCCGCCCTCTGGAGCCCCGTCCCCGGGCCCTGAGAGCAGCACGGCCCCGAGCATGGACGCCCCGGCCTCGTCCCGGTGACAGGAGACCCCTTTTAGCAGCCTGAGTAAAAACAAAAATGGCGATGGAAAGAAGTCAAACAGAGCACAAATATCTGGCTGATATCATGAAACACGTAATTGTGGAGCTAAAACTTCAACAGATCAGGCTGAAGTTGCAAAACATGATGTCAACAAGTCAAAATAGAGGCGTGTAAGTAGCATTTCAGCAACTGAATTCAAGATCACGTCAATACCTCAATTTGCAGCTGGGTATATTTGATCTTCAACATAGCGGTGTCCTCTCCGGCCTGAGCCTTCTTGTACAGGTCCAGCTCTGCATCCAGCAGTTCCTTCTGTGCCTGAAAATATTATTAACTCACATCAGGAGAAAGACAATATTGCAAGCCGGATAAGCTGAAAAACAGAAAATCCAGTTGCCTTTGACTTAATACAATTAGATGAAGAAAGATGTATCTACTGTAATCTCAAAGGAATTAAAATGTAATGTGAAAGCTGGTTAAATACAAACCTAGAGCTATAAACCAAATGCTGGTTACCTACCATAACTAAAACTACAAAGCATAACTACAAACTACATAGCAAAGCAGAGATGTGTGTAACTGCTTTCCAGGTGTGAAGATGTGGGTGCCTGTGTGTTGCATGGATTGAAGAAAGCACTACCTGGGCCTTGCTCTTAGCTGCGCGTAGTGGGTTGTTGCTGCCCGAGATTCCCTTTATTTCCTCTTGCAGTTTGGTGATGCTCTTGGTTAACATGCCCAAAGTTTCCATGATCTTGGCTTTATCCTCTGCCTTCATTGCTTTGTTCTTCTCAAGTTTGGATATCAGGAGCTTTAGAGGATAAGAGCAGAAAAAGTTTAACTATTATTGGTGCATCTTCCAACAGAGTAAATTAAACAATTACAAAACAACACCACCAGCCACGAGTCACACAGGACTGGAGACGGTAATATTTCAAATAGTGGTGAAACTATGGATAATATCACACAGTAAATGAGTCACAGATTCCATCCAGAGCTTTCACACACCATTGGCAAATCTATACAAACAAACCCGACTGGCTTGATTCTGGGTGCTGCCTGAACTTGTTTACAGCTCACATGCTGAACTGAAAGTACAATAAATGTATTAAAACCTTTAGTCCAGATTATATTACCTTCTGTGTCTCAATGTGCTTCTCCAGTATTTCCTGCTTCTTCTTCCTTACATCCTGCTGTAGTCTTAGAGCTTCCTGTGAGAGGAATTATAGGAAATGATTAGGTACTTTCTTCCATTCTTAGTATGAAAATCCAAGTTGCTTGCTTCCAATTTCTCCACCATTCCCTCCAATTCTCCTCTCACCTGCTTCTTCTTCAGGGCTTCCTCTGAGTTTTTCTGGGCTGCCTTCAAAGCAGCAGGATTGTATACGGTCTTTGTGAGGCCCATGGACGTCGAAAACACCTGAAAATAAGAGAAAAGTGATATTACATAAAATGTACACAATTTGAAAGAGCCGGAGAAAGAGTAAAAAAAGAAAATCAGTAATCCTGAACAGTGAGTGGACACTTACTTTTTCAACAGGAGCTGCTGGTTTGGCAGAGAAACCCAAACGGTCCTTCACAGACACTTTAGAAGGATTCTGCATCAAAGGGGGAAAAAACACAGGTTTATACACACCTCTTGCAGATTTGGACAAGTATATAAGAGAAAGCACATTCTCCATCAAACACCAAACAAACACCATCGGCCAACACAAACATACCTGAGAGGCTATGTTGGAATCCTGGGAGGGCTCAGAGTTCGCAGTGAGCAGGGGTCCGAGGCGATCTTTGACAGACTGCTTCAGACATGTGGCTGAGGGCTGCTGGACGACACGAAGAACATCACATTATGTTTGGATTAGTGCATTAGTACATTTTAACATAGGAGCCGCACTATTGAGATTCCGCCCATACACCCGGCCAACTAAATCACGAGCAGGGCTCAGCTGTCAATAATGACATGAAACCCACTTTTTATAGCCTCACTGAGCCAATTAAAACCATCAGAAAAACATTTGAGCACACATCAGCGCGTAATCAGAATGACCTCAAATAACAGATGTGTACTTTGTAGTTTGGCATAAGTTCCATCTGTCAACATGGAGACAGTGGGCTTCATGACCGATACTGCAGTCATTCACCAGTGGGCGATGGAGATGTTTTGGCTTCACTTCTTTTATTTGTCAATGACTAACTGTAAATGGAGGCAGTACTGGTATTATTAAAACAGTTTTCCCCCAAGTGACAAAATATGAAAGCCAAGAGAGAACATTGCAGAGGTGTGCCATGCCCAGTTTCACAGATTATCAAAAGTACCCTTGAATAGAGTGTTACATCTTACATAGTAACGGTGGGAGATCAACAATAAAGCAAGCGGTGGATGCACTGAATTATGCTCCCTTTAAACTGATGATGGTAGACGAACTGGCATTTCTGCCTCTTCTATAGTGGATTTCCATATTCAAGAGAGGACCTCTGGATGTTACCGCACATTGGTGAGGCCTAAAAGAAGCCTCTTAAATAACACTATATTGTTTGATGTGGTTAAGCAGGAATGTCAGTAAATCAGTCTGATCATGCTAGATCATGCATGCATGTTAATCACATTTGGCCAGTTAACCGTTAGCATAAATACACCAGAAAACTACAAAATTAACCGCAAAAAACTATTAAAAAAAATAAAGCTTTGTTTAAAAAACTAATTTAGGAATTCACAGGTGCATCTGATTTCAAGGTATTTGCCTTAACTGGACAATTCAACACCAGACAGACACTGGCAACATTTTTGTTTGAGTTAAGAGTGAAAACATTTTACTAGAACCACATGTTGAGTTACAGGGTTAAAATGAACTTTTACCATGGCTGGCTGTGTCTGAGGTTGCTGCTGTGAGTGAGACTGGCCATGGCCCTGGCCCTGCCCATCGCTTCCATCGTCACGAAACCAGTGCACCCTGATAAAGCGGTTGTTGAGAACAGCCTCTGTGCTTTGCATAGCCCGCTTGGCCTCATCTGGAGAGGCAAACTGGATTAGTGCCCCCTCTGGGTCATTCTGGTAAGCCACCTGTAAAAATAAATAATATGGTACTTTGAGAAAACGATATTAACAGCGGCGCACATACTGTAAATACTGCAGGTAACAATGGATGATTTATCTTAACTTTACCTTAAAGTTGTATTTGGGAGAGGGTAAGTTATTCTTTTAGATAACGCAAGATTCTAGACACTCCTTCACTTATAATTTTTATTCATTTCGGAATGTTTGCTCGCTTAACACAAATTAGGTTACAGCACAACCTTTACAAATCACATTGCTGATTACTGGTTTATCAGATGGCTTAGACAGCCTAATTTCAACCATATAAACTAAGTTATGAAAGCCAATCACAGATGAAATCTCAGCCACTACGCAAACCTCACATCTCACATAGGCATCCCAGTGAGTGAAACATCAATAATGAGGTTGTTTTAAAGTCCTTCACCTTCTGATACCAGATTGACACATGCACAGTGTTTACATATTAGCTACTGAACTGCATTACTGACTGAACGCAACCGTAACTACCTACTTTATTGACTGATTTATTTACAGACCATTAAAGCTGTGACTCTGATATCTACAGCACCACACAGTAACTGACCTGTAGGTTGACGATGGTGCCAAACTTGCTGAAATGTTCATTGAGTTTGCTGATGTTGTTGAGCTCGGGGGGAATTTGCCGAACCAGCAACTTGGTGTTAGGAAAGAATGGGGCTCTTTTGTGGTAGCCCTGGTGGTTGGGTTTGTTAAAGTTGGGTCTGAGCAGAGAAGAGAAATAATAAACAATTGGTTTTCAAATCAACCGGTGAGTTTAAAGGCAGCATATATTTTTTTATTTTATAACACAGGAAAAAGGCGTCTTACTTGTCAAACCAAGGTTTCTTGGGGAGGCCTCCATCGTGGGAGACAGGTGGTCTCTTCCTTGAATCTGACTCCATAACAATCCTCATACTGTTATTTGGAATCTTGTCTGGTGAAGGACAGTTCGTTGTGGTTAGTTCTGAGACTACAGCACACAGTTCAAAAAGAGATCACTACTCTAGGGGAAGACTTTAAGAGACATCCTAAACACAAATAGAGTTGCATGTACTGAATACCTGGCAACAGGCAAGTACTGAGCATGCTAATGGTGGGAGGGAGAATACACGTTTTAGGGCAATCTATTCAAAGCTCAGACTGTTCAATTGATGTGAACAATACCTCTCTGTGGCTGGTCCACCTCCCCCATTGTGAGGCCAATCAGGTTGGGTCTCTGGGCATTGACCCGGTGGCGGTAGACCGGCCTAGAGGTATTGGTGATGCTGGGAGCCTCAGGATTGTATACATCGGTGTCATAGTTGTCTGGTCAGGAGAGAAAAGGAGACTTTAAGTCATACAACTGCACGGCAAGGTACAGTGACAATGATTTATGAATATAAAATTAAAATCAAAATACACACAAGAATTACCGGGGGTGAAAAGCGGCACTGAGGCCTGGGGAAGTGAGGAGCGCATCCCAGAGGTGACAATGGTGGGAACAGAGCTGGTGATAGAATTGGGAGGAGCATCCATGCCTGACGGTTGCAGCGGAGGAAGCGGAGGAGGGGGACCTGTGTCAAACAGAAACAAAAAAAATATCAAGTCATCTAGTTTCCAAATTAACTATTTGTAATTGTATAAAAAACAAACAAAAAGAAACTCACTTACTTGCCCCTCACTCTCAATTGATTTCTCTTTTGGGGATGTTATTTCTCTTTTATAAATTCTATTTTCTTGTTCTCATATTTGTTATATTCTACCTTATTGATATTTTGCATTAAATGCTTTTACTTTAAAGTATTTTGTAACTTACAGTATGTTTTGATATGTTCATATACTAAGTATTAATAATAAGTTTTGTTTAGCCTAAACCAATTTCTTATAGAATAATAAATGTCTCAATTCCTACCTGCAACAGGTGGAAGGCTGGGTGGGAGGGCGACTGGAGGGGGCACAGGGGGCCGCAGGTTCACAGGTGGGGGGTTCATCAGAGGTGGTGGTGGTGGGAGTCCTGGGGGAGGTTGTGATTCCACGCCTGGGATTGGTGGAGGTTGAAAGGGCAGCATATTGGGCAAATTGACATCCTCTACAACAACTGGGTCACTTCCATGGTCAAAAGGACACATGTCCCCTCTCATGCAGAAGCCTTTTTCTGGAAAAGACAACAGAAACATGTTAATAAAAAATAAAAAACTACCAACCAAAACCAAAAAAAGAGTATACCCGGGTTTACTTACCATCATAGTCACGGCATCGCTTCCTCTGTTGGGGGGGTGGACCCCTAATAAAAGGGCCACGGTCCACAGGGTGGTCAGGGCGGAAGTCTGACCAACTCTCAGTGGTGTTGTTACTATGATGATGTGTGGGGGCGATGACTGTAATGGTGCTGCTCAGTGTTGGCACAGGGAAGTGTGACGTGGTGGCAGTGGAGACCAGGACTGCTGGGGTGTAGCCATCACCACTCTCTGGCCTGTGCTCATGATCATACTTCAACTTCCCAGAATCTCGCTCTGCGAATAGACATAAACCACCATGTACAATTATTATGGCAAATACAACTGTTAAACCATACAAAATGTGAAATCTTGTTTTCGTAGTTTTTTTCCTAGGATCTATTCCTTGTGATTGTCTAGGTTGTTTACTTATAATGAGCTGTCTGAGCTGCTATTACTGAATGTGTCAGCTCCAGACGCTTTGCTCAATGTGGACACGCAATCAAATACAGTAACTAATTCATAAAATCTTATACAATTCATGAACAAGAACAGTTAAATAATTGCTAAAGAAAAATACCTATATTCAATTAGACAAATACGTTTTAAACTTAAACTTGGTTTTTAATAATTTGACTTTGTTAGGAATGCCACCCCCACAAATTAAGGGCACATTCAGACACAAATTGCTTAATGTTTTAACCTGTGCTTCACATAAAACTAAAACTCTAATGGACCTTTAACCCATGGCATATCGGACATACTGGTCTCGAAAACTATTTTTAAAATCTGTATGTAAATAATTATTTAAGAAGCTTCTTGGTCAGCTGCACTCTTACTGGACACACTTTGAAAGCTCTGCAATGAAACAGGGTCATAGTTCAAATGATGTGAACTTTGATCACACTGCAAGTGGTGTTTCAAAACCTGGGTTTTGCTCTCTGCATACAAAAACAATGGTTTAAACTGGAACAAAGTGATTATGTGTAGACAGCGTTAGATCATTTCAGATCCATCAAACTGGTTCTTACCTCTACTCCTGCTTCTAGACCGTGTTCTGCTGTGTGACCGGCTCCTGCTGCGATCTCTATCCCTATCTCTGTCCCTGTCTCTATCCCTGTCCCTCTCTCTCTCGCGGTCACGGATGCGATCCTTGCTCCAACTTCGGCTCCGGCTCCGGCTGTAACTGCGACTGCGGCCTCTTCTCCGATTGTAGCGATCGCGGTACGAGTCCCTCCTTGGTGGGTTGCGGTCATAATCCCTCTTCCTGAGGCGATCGTCTCTCTTCCGATCATCTCCTCGCCTTAAAATGTGTGTAACAAAAGACATGGTAATTAGTGAACATTAAATACAAGTTCAAAGAGACGGTGGAAAGAGGCAGATGCACACACCTGCCATCTCTGCTGTAGCGAGAGCTTGTTTGGGGAGGGCTGTGATTCACTCGCCGTGAAAACTTCTTCTCTCGCTCTTCTTCCCGATTCGTCTAAAGAAAAACATAACTTAATTCATAAACACTGTTTATCCAATATGGCAACTGATATGTGCAGTCCTCCATATTGCTGGGTACTGTTGAGTGCATGCAATTGAACTACAGTATTTTTAAAACAACCATGTCAGATATTCTTGACCTTAAATCAGAATTACCTCATCCTTCTTCTGCTCATCTTTCTCAATTTTGACCAAAGACGATGGATGCTCTGGCGGCGGGAGGTAGTTTTTGTTGTTAATGGCTTCAAACAGCTTGTCCACAAATTGCTGGGTCTCTGACAAAAGGTAACAGGTGCACATTAAAGATCATACTACACTATAAAACACGCTGGATCACATGAGAAAGGAAACAAGGCTTGCAAAGAAAGTCTTTCATGAAGCAGAAGAACGAATTACCTTTCTGAAGAAATACATCCAATTGGTCTATACACAGGGCTTTAAGTTCCTTTTCACTTTTATCCTTCTTCACCAAAGCAACAACATACTTGGCTAGGGCAGAAGGGTCTGCATCACAACTGGAATTGAGAAGAAAAAACAAACATAAGACCCACGAACATCGAAATAAATAATATATAAAGTAGCATTATGGGCAATAATGAAACCCTTGCAATAGGTGCACTGTGTGTGTTTGTTTTAACTAACATTAGCTTGTACAACTCAGACTTAAGAAAACAGCTGTCTTGCTATGCGCTAATGATACTTACATTGGCTCAAGGGTATCAGACAGCCATGTTCTCAAGGCATCAAGGTTTTCAATGATCATTTTAGATCCAGCCCAACTTTCCCTCCACCACGGCCAGAGTTAGCTGGAGTGACGGTACTTATCTGTTCAAAGGGGTAGCAGAGGATTAGCTGATGAAACTAGCCACACTAGCACAGGTCTTTAGCCGGGCTACGGTAGCCAAAAGCGACGTGAGCTCAACAGCCGCGTTTACCCGGGTTAGCTACGTTAGCACACGTCTGTCCAGGCCCCAAACGTGCTGCACGATTCCTCAACTCTCGTAATGTATTTATTGTGCAAATGCAGACGGAGCGAATCTGTTATTTCTCCACGTCCAACCAACGAACTCCAGGTTGTAAATGTTATTATCCGTTCAACTTGAGGAGCATCCACGATTTACTTGCTACTTGCTTCCCTGCTGCCAGCTAACCATGCCATGGCGACTATTTACTTCCGCTCGTGTTCTCGTTGAATAAAATATCGCGAGATGAGAGCGGCCGTACGTCACTTCTTGTCATCCGGACGACCACGCCCCCTTTAGGTGTAAATGATGCCGTCCGCAGAGAGGTTACAAGTGGTAACCTGTTTATACTGTTAATTTTATATATTATCTACATACATAATACTTTATATCTTATATTTTATCTTATTTTTTATTCTGTTCTTAAGGTCAGGGTTTTTAATTTTAGTTTAATGTATGTTTAATGTATGTTTTGTATTTTGTATGCTAATGGTTGCTTGAATTTCCCTCGAGATAAATAAAGTATCTATCTATCTACCTGTGGGACCGGACAGTCAGTATATGTACGTCTGTACACATAAACAAACTTCATCACAGGTTACTTCATGGTGTTACTGATTAAATGGCATGTGTGCCGATTGTGTCTGTAGATAGAAGAGAATCAGTGAAGAGTCTTAATGATGGTGCAAATATTTTTTATTTTATAATTTTTATTGTATAAGGGTTCAGAAAGACAAAAGAGTAGATAAATACAAAGATATAAAGGGTTACCATTTTCCTCAATACAAACCAGTGTCATCCTTCGTTCAATGACCTTGATCAATCGTTCATTCATTACTTCTAATTCACAGCATGATCAAATATATTTTTATTTTAAAAATCAAATATATACTAAAATATTACAAATATTTTCTAGCTGTGTATTTCTTGTTTCATTGATATACAGTACATGGATTAAAAGCATGTAATGCTGCTTTAGTGATTAAACATTCTGGTGACAGAAAAAAAAAAAATAACCAACAAAATTGTGGTTTGTGACACAATCTTAAAAAACTGCCCATTTTTCCTGCTTCTAACACAACTTTGAGGACAAAATGTTACCAACAGAAGCCATGATAACCAGATAATCAGTGTTATTCACTTCACGTCTGTGGTCATAATGTTATGCTTGATCGGTGTGCATATAACAGCTTTTATCTTTAAATTACCAGTACTACTTTAGTTTTCGCCACACTAATGAACAGAAGGTGAGACATATTTCTGAGTAAAACCTCAGTTGCAGGTTAGTGTCTACAATATAACATTGGAAGGTCTACTAAATGCATTGTATTTACAAAAAAACTAATGATGAATTAGCGCTGTAAAAACAAAGTACAGTAGACCTAATGGAGAGGAAACTGCATCTAGTTTTTCCTGTCAATGAACTGCAGGTTGATGGGGGCACTAGGGCAGAGCAGGCCGTGGGTTTTGGCCTTGATGTCAGCTGTGAGAGGAGACACACCGATTTGGAACCTTTGAATGAGCTGCAAAGGGAGAAAAAAAAAAACAGGGATGTCAATCAGATTTTACTCATTTTGATAGTGAGGCACGAGGATTATTTATCTAGAAGCCAAAGCTCTTTAGTAGCACAGCTGGTAACTGGTACTAAGGTCGACAGATTCAGAAATATTCCGGGACTGTAAGGGGGCACAGGCCGGGGTCGAAAGCAGGGCCGCCTTGTATGAATTTATGTTGTCTTGGCCATAGCTGTATGCATGAAACAACAGTTTAATTATATAAGTGGATATATTCATATAAATGTTTGAGGACAATTTTACAAATTGTGAGTAGTTCTAATCCCCTACCCGTATGAGAGCTAGATGCATCTCTAACTCTGCTATTCTCCTGCCAATGCAGCTCCTGATGCCGTAGCCAAAGGGAATCGAGCCAAAGTTGTCGACACGATCTGTGTTATCTTTGCGTATCCAGCGATCCGGTCGGAAGTCTGTAGATTCAGAGAAGTTCTCGTCTTCCAAAGATGTGGCGTAGTGACAGAGGGCCAACTGAGTCTAAAGACGTGAAAAAATAGAAAAAATGTCCATTGTGTAAGGAAAACAGCTGGTCTATTGTACATGCATCTGTGCCAGAGAGAAATGTATGAGTAATGCAGGATCATGTTACATCTGGTTCCACTGTAATGTTTTTGGCTGACACTTTGTCTTCAGAACATGCACACTGAAGAAGACCATTATGACTATCAGGCTTACCCCTTTGGGGATGAAGTATCCACCCACCACCAAGTCATCCTGGGTAACCCGTCCATTGCCTGGGAGAACTGGAAAAAGCCTGCTCCCAAGAGGGGCACACAAAGACTGTTATTCAACAGCACTATACATTAATCTCCTTACAAAGTTAAAAAAAGTGAAAACCCCACACTGAGAAAGATAATGAACAAATGTGACCCCTAATTTTAAAAGTCTATTAAACTATTGCTGAGTTGTTTAAAACCTTGCAAGTGACAGCAAACCTAAAAAGTGGGAGAGTATAAAATCCATGCAGTATGCACCTGAGAGTCTCTTTGACAAGCCCTCTGATGAGAGGCAGACGAGGGACATCGTCAGCCGTGGCGATTGCTCCAGGTCCCAGAGTCGTCGTCACTTCTGTAAAGATTTGCTGCTGTATATCAGGGTGCCGTGCTAGCAGGTAGCTGGCCCATGAAAGTGTGAAGGATGTCTAGGAGAATAGAAAAGGATATTTTTTCATAAATCAGTTGCACATTTCTCTTTGAATGTGTAATATATTAGAATCACTCATTAGCGCTTCCATTAAATCTCTGTGGAGATATTGCCTTTTTTCCTCTTGTTTTGCAACAGGTTTGACTCAAATTCTAGCTGATATAAGAGTTTCTCTGATGTTGCACAAGTGTTGGGAAACAGTGTGGGGTTTTGAGGGAGAGGGGGCTAAGTCCACATGCTGGGCAGACAGTCAAATGCTGGCAACACTCATCCAAACACAGCTCTGAAAGGCTTAGGCCTCTCCCCTCCTACCCCTACATCCTATCTACATTTTCTAACATCCATCATATACCCAACTCTTCTTTCCTCCTCCCCTTGTGACGCCAATTCCTCAGTCTTTGCTGTTTCATGTTTCCCTCTTCCTCAGGCCCACCCTCTTATTCTGTCCCTCATCTCACCTCTGCCCAGTCTGTGCTATTACTCTGGCTGTGGCTAACGTGTCTTGACAGCTCTTATGTGTGCTGAGTAAAAGCAAATGCACCACAGGGTCAGGTAATGGCTCAGCTCTGTCTACCCCCTACCAGGACGTGGCCGTGGCAACAAGTTCTACAAAAACACATACACCCTTTTATTCTGTGGCCCCCGGTTCGGAACAAAATCCTCTACACCCATAATTCTCCTTAATCTGACAGTAGCCCAAACAAATTAGACAGTAACTGTGCACACAGATGCAGCTGCACACACATGCGCCAGACAAGTGTGGAGTTTTTTTTTGTCTCAGAAATATTAATTTGTAAAAGTAACAGACCCAGGATTTGTGTTGTATGTTATGCCTCTGCTTCCCATCAGTTTTTCCTATGTCTATATTCTTTAATCTCCAAATAAAAAGAATGTCTAAAAGTCTAAAATTCCCCCAGAAATGACACTTCAATGACCTTAAACCAACAGTATGAATTATTTGCAAGTGTCATCTTATTAAGAAACACATGAATACACAACACAGATGTCTGACAGAGGGGAAAAAGACAAAGCCCCCCCCCCCCCGTTAATAAGATCTAACAGACAGAGACAAATGACAAAAAACTAAAGCTGAGTGAGAACAAGTTTGTCAGTGGGACACTGTAACCCCCAAGTTACTGTTCTGACCTGACGCTGGCACAGCTTCACAGGCACGGATGTGGTGCCAGAAACCCAACACTTGAAACTCAACACTGACTCAAACACACACAGACACAACACACCACACAACACAAGCTCCCAAACCCTCCTTCCTCCTGTTAAAGGCACACTCACTGCACTCAAAACCACTCTTCGCACCTCTTTGTACATGAATGCCATTTAACATCTGTCATAAAGACAGAGACACACCGCGTGTCGCACCCAGCCAGTAGCATCTTCCTGTTACGTTGGCGTAGAACTTCTCCTCTAGGAGTTCATCCTCCTTGGTAACGACGCATGTGTGTGAGCGGCCCCTTCACTTTCCTTTCCCTGCTCCAGCTGGCTGAACATCTCTTTGAAAGTCCTCATTATCGACGCTGAATATGGCGCTGGGATCAGACAGGACAGGAAAGGTGAAATGAATGGAAAGGGCACGAGTTCGAGGGTAGTACAGGGGTAGTTGAAGGGAAGGAAAGAGAGGAAAGAGAGGTTATGTAACTGCGGGACCCCCAACTCCCACAACCCCAGAGTATAGCAGTAGAGATTTATATGCAAATCAACATTCCTTTCTATTGATTCAACAAAAAGGTTTCCAAATACTTATCCAGACCTCAGTACTGCTGTTACTGTATTGTTGTAATTGGACGGGAGGGAAGTAAATTCTGGAAAGCGTATACTGCAACTTTTTGGATAATGCAAAAAAAGTATTTTTATTTGCCTTTTTTAAAAGCCTTTTTTGTCACTGAGGAACAAAAAAGGAGAAGGACACTCTTAAAGGGGTATTAAACCCAATTTTACAACACAAAGGTTGACATTGTTGTATATGTCTGCTGTGGCTCTGGAGAAGTTTGATCAAGTCTAAAAAAATAACTCCCGATGATGGCTTTAGGGTTATCTCAGCTTGGCCTTGGAAACTACAAATACAAAACAAAGCTTCTATAGCACCCAGTGATCTTGGAACTTGATCCTTACTAGGGTCTATGCGTCTGTTTCTTTCAAGTTACCCAACTTTTTGGAAGTGCAGTACTAAATTGCTGAAATACCCTTTTAATGTTAAAATACTACATTTAGTACTGTAGGCAGACAGTTCACTGGAACATACAAGTATACTAAAAAAAGCATTCATGTGCCCCCAGTGATAAAACAATACAAACTGTAAACCACTTACTGAATCTGAAGAGGCCATCCCAGGAGAGACAGAACTCCTCCCATGGTTTGGGGATGATAGTCCGCAGCCACTTGGGGATCGCCCCGGCATACATAGTTGTCTTGAAGGAGCTGAACATGAGGTGCAGTGCATCGATGTAGTCTTGGGTTTCCTTGGGAATCTTGTTTTCCAAACAGCCTAATCGGCACTCGTACAGAATGGCTGAAACACCTTTAAAGAAAGGAAGTCATCTTTTCTGTACGGTTGGAAAGTGGCAACAAGGATTAGGCATCCCTTGTTTCTTTGTCACTGGAATCTAACACAAGTTAGGTGTACATCAGTGGTTTGTCTATTTTAGTACAGTGGCAACTTTAGCAGTTGTTGATGGACTTGGGTGGATATTCAGGATTCACCATTTTTCTTTTTCCTGTCTATTTTCTCTCTGCTTTTACTGTGACCTCTTCCTGCCTAACTTTTTCCTTCTCTGATTTCCTTCCTCATCTCTACTACACTTGCACCACTTTCTCAAATGCATCCTTTCCAACGTTCAATTTCTTCTTCACAAGCAACCTTTCTAGGATCTTTACCAACCTTCCATGGCATATTTGAAGAAGAGGTCATTCACATTGTGGACAGTTGCTCCGTCAGACTGCTGGGTACGCAGAATACAAACTCTCTTGATCAGGTCGTCTACCACGTTGTTCACGTCATCAGAGAAAACTGCAACATCACGAGGACGCATGATGAGCTGTCTGAGCACGCTCCGCATCTTCAGCCAGTCTTCTCCCTCACTGGAAAACAGGACACAAGTACACTTTTGGCATTCCCATATAATGTCTTATTTTAATTCAAGACATTCACAAACACATAGGAGAAATAGATTTTTGTTTTGTTTTTATTAAGATGATGGACCGTGAAACTGTTGAAAAACTGCAAGTGCGGCTGCCAAATGGGATAGGTACAGTATTTAGACTTTAATAATACAAAAGCAGGTAAGGACATGCACACTAGAAGGGAGTTGATCCTTAAAATGTAACCTAGACACCAAGTGTTTGACTGCGCCCATCTACACATATGGAAACTCAAGTGATTATCCCATTGACCCCAAAAGTAATTTATTTCAGGAGGTTGAAGGGGACTCACGCTGAGATGAGGCCAGTGGAACGGCCTCTCAGGTCTCTGTACTCCTTCCAGGACTCCATGTTACCTCTCTGAGGGGCCACACCCTCGGCCCTCAGCACCTCAGCCACCAGATCACGGTCTGCCACCGAGACCACCAGCTGGGGCCCAAAACGGGATTTGAAAATTTTGCCATACATCTTCCTGTGCTCCAACTGTAAAGCAGTAGTGACACCAACAAATTAGTACTTATGTTCATTTCTGGTATGACCTTAGAAAATTAGGCAAAAACGTATTGTAATGTAGCATACCTACATACTGGATACTGAATGTTTGATTTAACTGTAAATGTATTATAGGGATGTCCCAATCAAGTTTCAATCCGAGTCATTCAACATTGAGTATCACACAACACAAGTTATTAAAATATATCGAATGTAGGCGAAGTGTAAGTTCAAGACTCCGCGTTGAAACTCTGCAGTGGACGGGGCTGCCTCTGCTCTCACCCTGGCAGATCTCAGAGTGGAGAAAGGGAAAGAGAGAGAGTTGAGGACCGATTATCGGAGCAGATTGATAGACGTCAGACACCACCACACTCAACACACCACTGCAAGTGCAACACAGTCACGCGAACAAGAAGCCAATAAGAGTAATTAATGAGTTAATGTAATCCGCACAAAAGATGTGGAGACGATGGAGATGCACACAGACAGTGCATTCAGGTAACTCAGGTAAAGGCTGCACCAAACACTGGAGAGAGTAATTCCCTCCAGACAAAAAGATGACAGAGGATGTGTTTACTTTCTTGTGTAAAAAGCATTAAGGAACAGCTTAGATGCAGACTTTTTTTTCTTGATGCAATAGAGAGCTATGTAATTGTCAAACATATACACTGATTTTAATAACATTATTGTACTTGAAGTGCACTGCGCATACAAAAAAAAAAGAAAAGAGTGGGAAAGTATGAGATCGGGACTCGGTATCGGTAGATACTCGGTGTTAAAAATCAGGACATCCTAAATATAATTTATTTTCCACTTTTACTTTGCCATGCCGAGATTTAAAAAACATACACACAGACAACACACATGCAGTTATTTGAGTTTTTTTTATGACGATGAAAGACTTTCTTTGAAGACTGAGACAAAACGCCTTATTTTTAGATTGCCTGTTGCATTTTGCAAAGGCAAAAATACTTTCAGTGTTTCAGGTAACTCACGTGAAGATTATTACATAACTCATACCTTGGAGAGAAAAGCTGACTAGCGGCCAAACTTCTGGTGCGCTTTTACGCAACAGTCTGTGCCATTTTACGCAGAGCTGGCAAATTACACTAAGAGTACACAGACTTTGTTTTCTCATTGGTGGAAGACACAAAGGGAGGATTTCATCTTTTAAACAACACAAAAATACACACCAAAAAGTATGGGTCAGAATTACCTGAATTTCGTGAATTCGGCTAAACCCATCTCTCCAGAAGAACTCGATCAGGTTGGATAGGGTGCTGGGTCCAGGCATCTCCTTCAGGGTCTTGATTGCGGTTTTCTCGCCGACATCCTCTGGTGTGGGAAATCCTTTAGGCATGGCTTCTTCTCCATTCGCGGCGATCCCAAAAGACTCGCTTGCTGCTGACTTGTGCAAAGCGCGCACAATGAAGAACAGCTGCTTATTTAGCCCGTCGCCCTGAAGATTCTTCCTGCATGCTGCCGTAAAATGATTCATCATTGCCATTCTTCTGGATGCTTCTCGGTGTTGCCGTGAGAAAACACGATGCGATGCACTGAGTCTTCTGCAAAGTCTCAAAGTGCAGCTGCAAATGGAAGTTCCCGGCACGTAACGCAGTCCTCCGTGTGTGGTAATGTAAAGTAATGTTGGATGGGTCTATATTGTGGAACGCGTTTAAATAGCTGCTTGTAAAACCTCAGGAGTGGAAGAGGATTGGATGTGCAAAGAAGGGAGGGATAACTCTATATTCGGATGTGGGAGTTTCCCCCCGAAAAAAGCTGCTGAGTTTGTTGTTTCTTTTTTTTAAAAAAGGGAGTGCGTTACAACGTGCAGAGGACAGGTACATCAAACCAATCAATCAATCGGCCTTCGTGCACGCGCACACGCCACCCTCTGCAAGCATGCACGCGCGCGCTTTGCCAAAACATGTGTCATTCAAGGTAAGGGTGCTTAGACTTGGTTCTTATTGGCTCTACCAGTCAATGCAGACATCTGATTGGAGACGGGAATTAAGGGCCACCCCTCCAGGTTGAATCTCGGGAGCGCAGTCAAAGCGACAGCGCCAGCAGACGAGTGTTACCTGAGTAATAAATTAATTCATCTAAAACGAGTGAAAGTGGATAAATGAATTAAGGCGACCTTGGGATAACACGTATTTGAAGTTGAAGAAGGCATTCCACGGTCGGTGTGCCAGGAGTTCACCTCTTGTGGCAGAGTCTTGGTGAGTTAAGCTGATTTTGGTTAATCCGGCTTGTTGGGATGTCCGGATCAAGGTTTTATAGACCCCGATCCGACCCGAGTGATTTAATATTGATTTTCTTCGGATACCGAGTCCCGATCCGATACTTCTTTTTTAGATCCTACAGCGCAGTGCACATTGCATATGCATATGCTTGTCAATTAAATAGCTTTATATTTGCATTAAAAAACAAAATGCCTGCATCGAAGTTGTTCCTTAATGTTTTTGTGGTTGTTTGTAAGTATAGAAGTGTCAAATAAAACACCCTCTGTACCCCTTCTCGTTGCTGCCTGGAGCGTCTCTCTCCAGTGTTTGTTGCTTCGGGTCTGCTTGTACCTCAGACTGCGGTCACCCATCTCCTTGGCTTCGCTATCTCCTGCTCAGCTATCGTTTACGCTTCTGAGAAGCGCGCTGAGACTCAAGAAGGCTTTTAGGGTTACGGAGCTTATTGTAATTGGGATAAGTAGTTGGTTTAACGTGGCCAGTGTCTCCAGTTCATTCTCTTTCAGCATCATATTTTTTCAGCTCTTTTTAGAAAGGATGGCATTTGATAGGTCGGCCAACTTTATTCCTTTGGGATTCCACCTTAGAAGAAGAAGAATATATACTTTAATAA